AGTGCTCTCCTTTGGGAATAAATGCAACTAACACCGTTGTGATAGAAAATTCTGTGTTACTGTAAAATCTGGGTTGATTTATAAATAAGCATTCTGTACAGATGTCAAAAGAGTTAGTTCTGATGAGTAAGAGAAGCTGAACTCAAAGCAGTTAGGTTGTAAAAGTCACGCGTTGTGGTGACTGACTGACAGGTGTAGAACCGATGGGATTCCAGTAAGCTGTCAGGAACTGGGCTGCAGGGCAAGGCTGGCTTTTAATGCAAGAAATTTGTATTTTTTTTTAAATCTGTGATGTTTTCCTGCAGGACACCAGGAGACAAGTGCAGGTGGTGAGCGAGGGTGTCTAGGAAGGGGCACGGGAAGCCAGAGCCCATTTTGCCCACTTTGCTGTCGAGCTGCACCGGCCTGCGGAGCGCTTTGTTGTTCTCTGTAAATCTGGCTGCTCCCTGGGTGCTCTCGGAGTCTGGCATCAAACAGGGCAGAGCAGGAGGGGAACGAGAGAGGTGGGACTCGTAGCTGTCACAAATGAGTTTTGCTGTTATTTGTCCCCGTGCTGCAGTAAGTGCCCTGGGTCTGGGCTCTTTGTTCCAGAAGCTGCCGTTTAAGGTCATGTGAGCTGGTGGCTTTTGAGTATCCCCTCTCCTTTACTTGGGCTCAGGATACTCCATGTGCCTTAACAGGCAAGAGTAGCAGATGTTCTGTCAATAGCCAGCCACTCTCCCTTTCCCTTTTCCTCTCACGTGAGCTGCTGTCATCTTCTAAGTGGCAACAATCCTTTTTTTTTTTTAATAAAAACCCTTTAAGTGAGAGTACTCTAGAGAGTGGAGAGTAAACCTCTGGTTTAGAGAATAAAAGTGTGTTTGAAAAAAATTTGGAAGTAGTAGGCATAAAGTGTCTGAGCAAAAAAGGCTCGAATGATAATTTTTTTCTCTCAAAATAGAATTTGGCAAGGATGTTCTTTGAACAAGTTGGTTTTTTACTATTGATCTTACTCGATTTGTGAAATGCATGAGCCATAATAAAACACCAGCACTGGTAATTCCCAGGGTATCGAGTGGTCACAACAGATCCAGGCTCATTTTGTAGAAAAATCATTGGAAGGATGCTGCTCTGGTGGTCATCGTGGTGCCTGTTCTGCTTCATGCCCCTTTGTCCTCCCAAGAGGCTCTTTGCCCTGTGCTTGTGTGGATCAAGTGTGCATCTCCTAGTGCTGAGGCAACTGGAATTTCTGCCACGACGGTCTCCCAGGGGGGGTGGTGCTGTCATCAGGCCCCAACCTTTGTCTTTGTCTCTCCTTGCCTCCCTGCCCCTGCTCGCGGAACATCCCGCTCCCTGCTCCGGCACACGGTCTGCTCCTACGAGTGACCTCGTGTCTTCTGTTTGAAAAAAGAAAAGCCACGATTCTTGGGAATTCTCTTCTATCACCCTGCACTCATCTTGATGAGCTCACGATGGTCTGCTGGACCTTGGGACGAGCCAGAGGAGTTCTCTCTTGGAGCTCCTCCTGGGAGGCAAACAGAGGTGGTGGTTGCCCGGTGTTTGGGAGGTGATGCACACAGTTGGCATTGGTTTACTGAGTGTTTCGTGCTTTTGTGCAGCATACTGTGAGGATACTTCTTTTTTCATACACATTGCTGTGCAAGAAGCTCAACAAAATGATTGAATGGCAGGAATTTATGATGGAGAGCTTCCAAATGGCAGCCAGTGAGTGTGTAGGGGCTGGTAGCTGTGTGGTTGCTATTGCAGCTCTCGGGAGCATGCCTTTCTCATTCCAAAGCTGCTGCTGGCAGTGCCAGGTGTGTGGTACAGCCTTGTCCCTCAGCTGCTGCCTAGAGATGGTGCTGCAAAGGATGAAACTGTTCGGTGAAACATCCTTGGGAGCAGCTGGTTATATTCGTTGCCAAAACGCCTTGATGCCGCTCGGTTTGCAAAGCTGTGGCTTTACAGCAGTGATGCTGAGTACATCTTCCAGTCCTGCTGCATGTTCCTGATGGTCACAGTGTCATCTCCGACACCGTACTAACTGCGTGGTCATGGCAGTGTCTGTTCTGAAACAGGCTGCTGACAATAGCAGGACAATCTTGGAATGGTGGCATTGTGCAAAGACTTCTATCCAGCTTTCCTGTGCTGTTCCAGCACATGCCCTAGCAGTGCGTTGGGAATGCCCTGGAGTATGGACACTGCTTGTGCTGCCCCGGCGGGTGATTCAGAGGGTGTTCTTGCCAGAGAAAGGAATAACTCACAGGGAAGTACGGGTGGGTGTTTATGGTTTACCACTCATCGGTGAGCAGTACCACCTGTGTTCTGTCCTGCCGTATGAAGAGATGAGCTCCAGCATGGTTGTGACTTCCCTTCGTCACAGCTCCTTCCGTTGTGTGACACAGCCGTTCACAACTCGGATAGCACTGGAGGGCTGCCCTGCATGTGCACAGCTCCAGCCAGCGCAGGGATATGGATGGTTTTTCCCTGTGCAGAGCTCATTGGGCTACAGAGAATTTCTTGTACGCATCCCAGCTGCTTTGGAAAGGATCTGAGAAATATGAACAGCACAAATAGGTCTGGACTCCAGGAGGACACAGCTCGGAAAGAACTGGACTTGCGCCATGCTTTGTGGAGTGTGGTTTTTTGCGTGTGTAGGTGGAACAGATCCCATGAATCATTAAAAAGCTTCTTGCCTTTCAGTCCTTCAGATGAGGGACATTTGCTGTCAGCTGAGCTGTTTTGGATGTGAATTCTGTCACTTCTGCCTGGAACTCAAAATGGCCAAAATGAAAGATGGTGTGGTAAAACTGATGCCATCCTGTTAGCAGACAGGCAGCCCTCCCCAGCCCGCTGCAAGTCAAGCGTTTTACAGGATGAGCAGAAGCAAGCCTGTGGGAAGGCCTTTTGTATTCAGAATTCTGCTAGATGAAGGTTTGAAAATGGAACCCACTACTTCCCAGGATCTCCTTTGTTCACAGATGTGTTGGGTTCTGTAAAATAACTGTGTTAGGGTGGAAGATGGGAAGAAACGTGGTCATTATTGCCAGTGGCTTTGCAAAACAGGGAAAGATACTTTTTCATTAACATTCTAAAGTCACTCTGTGTCTGTTCCCCTGTCCCCGTGTCGGTTGGATGGGGAGCTGTTGGAAGGGGAAGGCTGGGTCATTGCTGTCGTGTTGTGCTTCCATGCGAAGTCCCCACCACGTGCGGGGGTCACTTGTGCTTTCGTCGTAAAGCCCAGGAAGTCCAGCGCAGGCTTTCCTTCAGCTGAGCGTTGTTCCTTGTGCATCCTGTGACCGGGGTGCCAGGATGCCTTGGTGGGCAGCGCCCGCGTGTCACTGGATCTCAGACCTGTGGCTCCAACGTGCCGGGAAGGCTCCGCAGTGTCCCTGGTGGGTGTTTTTGTGCTGTGTCCGATTTCGGAGCAATATGGTCAGGGCTCTCGGGTTACCAAAAGATTGCATCATCTGCTGTTCTTTCCCTTCTTTAGGGAAGAGCCTTCTGAAGTGGCCTGGCGTCCCGCCGGAGGTGCCTCTCGGCGCTCCAGAAGCCCTCTGGGCTGTGCCCTCTGCGGTGGCAGGATGTTCTGCCAGCACTGCCTGCGTCCGCGGTGCCACGCGGGATGCACTGGGATACTGCAGTCTGGCACACACCAGGCTCTCCACGGGGCACTCGCTCCTGGAAGAAGCCTCTGTGGTGTGCCCGGAGCTACTGGACATGTGCCTCCATGCGCGCCGTGTTCTGCAGAATGTCCCGATTTCGGCAGCTCTGGAGCGGCCGCGGCTCCTGAAGGCACAAAGAGCAGCCTGGTCCCGCGCGGGCCGGGCTGGATCCCAGTCCGGAGCTCGGGTGCCTCTGTTGGAAACGAGAGCATTGCGTGAAAGGTTTTTAAACAAATTAGTAACGCGGTAAGAGGGACGGCAGAGGTGGGTGGAGGAGATCTTAGAGTAGGGGCATGTGTCTGTTTGTTTGACAGGGAGTGGAGGCACCTGAGTCACCGCTGAGCTTCAGAACCTCCTGTGTGGGACGGAAATAGCCTCTGTGCATGCGTGTGCATGTGTGTGTGCACGAGTGTGTGTGCTCCACGTGGCGTTCCAGAGGTAATTCTGACCTCGTAAGCAACAACAACCCTCTTCCAGCGCCCCTTCTATTGCTGCCGATCGTATCGAGCGTGAAACTACAAGAAAAACGGTTACAGCATCACTGTTGCCTGATGAGTCGTGGATTTTTTTCACTCTCAGTATGTTCTACATGTGCATCTTTCTCTTAATTTCTATTATTTTTTGTCTTTAGAGATGCCTTTATGTAAGAACAAGTTAAAGCTTCTTTACTTTGTGACTCCGTGTGTGTGCATTTCTTGTTTATTGTAACTGCTATTTTCCCCTTACTAAAAATACCAAATTAAAAGCTGTCGTGGAAGCCCACTGGTGTCAGATCCGCTTTTAAAAATAAAATTTGTTATGAATATTAGGTAGCATCACATAAAAATTTACTTTAAATATACATTAGGTAAAAATTGGTTTTGCTGCATGTTTATTTTTAGAGGTTTAGAGGTTTATGCTTTGACATTGGAAATTCACAGTCTCCTTCTGCAGTATCAGAACACAGTGTGTTTATTTTAGTCCTGACAGAATCTACTTTTTCGATAGAAATATAGAATCATAGAATCACGGAACAGTTTGGGTTGGAAGGGACCTCCAAGACCATCCAGTTCCAACCCCCCTGCCGTGGGCAGGGACACCCTCCACTACACCAGGTTGCCCAAAGCCTCATCCAACCTGGCCTTGAATATGTTCTGGAAATAAATTTAAGTCCTTGTTAGCGAAGCCTAAACGTAGTGTTTAGGTTAGTGATGTCACTTGCAGATAACTAAACGTGCATTACATATGTTTACAAGAACTTTGCGTATGTCACAATCCTTGTGCTACGTTGTCTTTGCAATGAAGAGAAGCCACCCAAGTCTAACTCCCCTGTGGCTGCTGGCTGCTTGCGTTCATGTAACCGTTTCTTCCTTTCAGATGAAGCTGCAGAGCAACATCTCGTATCAGATGGCAGACATCCATCGGCTGAAGGGTAAGGAATTATGGCAGACTGAGGCGTTGTGTGTGTTTTAGCTACCTCGGTACTGCAGGATGTGTTTTAAGTGGAAAATCAGGCAATGCTGGAATGCAGCATGATGTGACATTTCGTTATATTTGTTTACTGCCTGGTCTGGATGAGTGTGGGGTTGGCTCTCGTAGACTTTGCTCTGCTCTTTGCAGGAAGAACGTGGATTCTGGCACTGCTCACTACCAAGATGTTAGAATCATTTTCATGACCAAATACACAGTTCGTTATAGTTTGGATCAGCAATGTTGGGATGCTTACGCTGGGTTAGAAAAGGTCCAGAAAACATCTTTTAATGATTGCAATGCCTGTGATCTTACTGTGTGGGTTCCAGAGCGGCCTGGAATCAAGGAATCATGGAACGGTTTGGGTTGGAAGGGACCTCAAAGACCATCCAGTTCCAACCCCCCTGCCGTGGGCAGGGACAGCCTCCACTACACCAGGTTGCTCCAGGCCTCATCCAGCCTGGCCTGGGACACTGCCAGGGATGGGAACAGCTAATGCAAAAATTCGAACGTGCCTGCAGACACCATGCTTGGCGTTTCTGCCTGTATCTGTGTAGTTGCCCTTAAAATAGTAGGAAGCTTAACAATTATTTGTAGCCTGAGGAGCAGGGAGGGCGTCTAGAACAATTGTAAGGACGGGAGATATGTGTTGGTTTTATGGAAAGTGTGAAGGTACCTTCTTTTTGTACACTTCTTGCAGAAAAAGAGTATTTGACCATCGTGCCTAAAGTAACCTAGTAGTACTTTTGTGTTACTCAGAATAACAGAATGTTTCAGGAAATTAAAGAGATTTCCAACAGATATGTAAAATAGCATTGTGTAAGTCTCTGAATGCAAAAGTAAAGAAAAATTTAGGAGTTTTGGCATAGTATCAGAAGAATTGTTCTGTAGTTCATAGTGACATCTGGCATACGTGAGTAAATTGGCGTTTTTTTCCAAGTTACTTTAAGAATCTTTAGAAGAAATAACATAAGACTTGAGAAATTTTTTAACCTATATAGCAATATTGAAAGTTGTATCTGCTGTGTGGCATTTTTTCTTATGTTTCTATATTTGTGCTGATTTTTGCTTTTCGGTCCAGAACAACTGGCAGAATTACGTCAGGAATTCATTCGCCAGGAAGATCAGCTGCACGAGTACAAGAAGAACAATACTTACCTTACAAGGAGGCTGGAGTATGATAGGTATGTCTTCAAGAACGTTAGTAACTGTAGGGGGGTGTGTAATGGAGGTCTGTGCTTATGAAAAGTGCAAATAAATCCTATTTCTGCCAATCCTCAAACTTGAGTGCCCTCACTCGGTGATGTAACTCAAAGTTAGCTAGTTGTTTGATTTTTAAAGTTCTATTTTTTGTGGTGTTTGCTCCTCACCCCAAAGTGAGATATGATCGTAGAAGAATCTGATTTACTGGAATTGTCCAGCATTGGACAATTTTAAGTCAATGCATTTTTTTATAACATGGAGATTTTAGTTAACAAATACTTGGAAGAGTTTAATCAATGCAGTTCTGTAAGCTGTCTTTCTAAAAGTGCAGGGGTTTTGGGCGTTTTTTGTATGTTTTTTTTTTTCCCCACTGAAGTTGAAAGCATTGTGTGTATTGAAATTTTAAGCTGACCTCATCCTTTTAAGTTTATGATGGAGAAGCAGGAAGAGCAACTACTGCTGAAGCTTTGAGGATGGGGGAGATAAATGCTTGAGAAAACGTTTGAAACTTTCACACACACACAAATATTCTTTACTCCATGTGCCATGTTGAGTATTGGCGGGTCTGAGGGAGACAGGAATTTTGCTGAATTGGGTTGATCTCCGTGTGGCTCGTTAGAGAAGTTGGGACACTTAGCTGGGTCATTCAGATCTCGTTATCTGAGCTGGTAGCAGTCACTGATAGTAGTAGTTGTGCATCTTCTGTGTTGACAACCGTGGGAGATACATTGCTCTCCAGTGGAACTAATGCGTGCTGGTGACAGATTGACTGTGAAGCTTGACTTTTTGGTTGCTTTCCAGGTTTTGGAGGAAACATGTTCAAGGCCTTTCCTGTTTTTCTGCTCTGTCCCTATTTTTTCTAGTTCTGCTTTCTTTCTGTGTACACTGCATGCTCATTCCAGGACAGGGCTTTTTGGACAGCCTATTCTAGTTATATCTCAGGTTTGGCTTTTTGTACCACTTCATATTTTCCCCCCTATTTTATTTACGGGAGAGCAGATACAACAGATGAAATATAACTAATAACGTGTTTCTAATCAAGTCTGCAGTGTGGGCAGCAAATCAAGGAAATGAGACTGCAACATGAAGAAAACATAAAGAAATTAATGGACCAAGTTGTGCGGGAACAAAAGGTAATGTGCAGCCGGGTTGGTGTGTCGGATTAGCAGAGCCTGAAGTCTGGCTTTTGTTTGACTCAGCATTTCAGATGCGTGGGGGCCTTGGTGCTTCTCCCCTGACTTTCTGTGAAATATCGTCCTGCTCAGCCCTGAATGGGTGTTAGTGTGAGAACATGTGCCTGGTTTGCTCCATGAGGAGCAAAAACTTGATTCTTGAAGATCTGGCTTGATTCTTCGCTCTGCTGCAGCCTTCCTGCGTGACATCGTTGCTGAGGGTTTCAGTTTCTTCTCTGCAGAATGGATATTACTTCGTAGCTCTTCAGGGTAGAATTGATGTTCTTACAACCTTATATAGGTTATTGCAAAGGGGAACTCGGTCTCTGTTGAGGCCTGGAGGTGCTGGTGTGATGCAAATAACGATGGTATTTGAACGGTATCGAGGGTGTAATTCTGTGGCACGAGCTGCCAGTGGAACATGGGCCTCGCTCCTGCGAGCAGATGAAGTAACCTCTTCTTAAAATTTCATTTCCTTACTTCGTCTCTGTTTACAAACATTTCAAATAATAAGGCAGCTGTGAAGTAGGTTTCAGTCAGATCTTTTCTTAAAATCTAGAATTGTTTCCAAGTCTCTGACCTGAGTCTTAAGGCCAATGATGCCGTAACCCGTCTGCGTTAAGAGCTACACGTGCCAAGACAGATGTCGCGCAGCCACGCGGCGTTTCTGTTCCCTTATCTTCCCGTACTCATCTCTGTCCCTCAGGATGCAGCTGTGCAGATAGAGGAGTTCTGTTGTTTTTTGCTTTGGTGATCATCTAATTCCTAAATACCATCTCGCTTACCCAAAATAATCTTGAATTTGAGGGCATTCGTTTTGTAATTTTCAGGGATGTGCTTAATATTGGTTCCTTATGGATTTGTTCTAACAGGCCACACAAAAAATTCAATCAAGTAAAGACACTGAAGTAAGTCCCGACAATGATGACCAGGCAATATCTAAGACTGTTCCAGAGGCAGAATATAAAAACACAGTCAAGAATGAGCAGCCTTCAGACCATGTTGTAAACGGCAAAGGTATTTTCCTTTTTTTTGCAACTCCTGCCAGATAACAGGCTGATTGTGTTGTATCCTTTGCTATCACACAGAATGGGGAATTTTTCTGAAGCAGAGCAAAGAATTCTTGGCTCAGGTGACCCGATCAGCTGCATGTGATTGCCCTAAGTCAGCGTTCATGGGTGTCCAGACACTGGCGTGTCCTTTCTCTGGGTCCTCCTATGAAAGTGGTTTCTTGCACAGTTTCGTGTTCACTTTGTTGGTTCATTTGGCAACTCCTTCCTGCTGTGGCAAACAGACCCAGGGATTGCCTCTCCGCTGCCCGTGAGGTGTGTCGTGGGGTGAGCTGGGGAAGGGCATGTTGCTGGAGAGCTGGAACTGGCCCAGAGAAGGTGGCTGGAGGTGAGGAGCGTTGAAACCGCTGTGAGGAGTCTCTGGCAGGGGAGGTCAGCAGGAGCAGTGGGGACCTTTGGTTGTCCCGAGCTGCACAGGAGACTCTCAGCGAGCAACTCTTGGAGTTGTTTCCTCCCTGTAGGCATCTCTGAAAGGCAGATGCGTTCCCTTTTTTTCTTTACTTGTGGTGCTGAATCAGCACATTTTGTCTCAGTTCCGTGTCTGTTCTGGCCAGCTTCTTGCAGCAGGTTTTTCTTACCCTGCTGCCAAGAGCAGTGCATCTGTTTCCCATCGTTTTCTGAAGATTGCACTGACTTTGGGCGTCTTCAGTGGCTGCTGCAGTACAATGGTAGGAGCGTTGCGGTCGCGTTATCAATATGGGATGTGTTCTGTGGATAAAGGACTTTTCTTCTGGTCTTAGAGCCTTCCACAAGAGGGAAATCCACTGTTCAAACTTCAAGGTTATTAAGGCAGAAAATCCTATTCTTGTCTTACAGAGAAAGTCAAACCAGGAGGAGATGCAGGCATGCCTGAAATAGAAGATAATGACCCTGCTAAAGCTGAAGATACTCCCACTGGTTAGGAGAAATACTCCAGTACTTTCACATTTGGGTTCTTGGTGGCGTATATGCTGTTTGAATACTAATTGCTTCATAGTGAATGCAAAATTTTAGAATCTGTGGTAATAAAATTCAAGTGGGGTGTAAAATTTGATAATTTTTACTGTGCTTTAGAGGTTTGAATTCTCAAAACTGAACGTTTCTGATAATTATTTTTTTCCCCCAGAAATCTTGTGTATTATATTTTCATCTATGGTTTAAAAACAAGAAAGAAAAACAAAACCAAAAAAGTTTCCAGGATTGCTAGAGGAAGACCTGGTAATAGTGTCCGTTTGTTTCACGTTAACGTTTTTGTCCATGTATTTTGTTTCAGCTTTAAAGAAGCCACTTATTTCAGCTCCTAAAACTGAAGGTCATCAGCCTGTTGTAAATCTTCCAACTGAACAGCCCCCTGCTCCAAATCTGGCACCAGGTAAAATTCTTACTAGCAGGGGACAAGTCAACGTTTCGTAGGAAACTCACCATTTAGTATCTGGTACCATACCATGAAGGTTGGAGGTACATGGCCAGCCCCTTTTTTGTGTCTGATACGGCTGCAAAAAGAAAACCAACGATGGATTTCTGCAGGACACAAGATTGAATGCATTCTTAGTCCGGCCTCCTGAGGCACTGAGGTTGCTGGTTGTACGATCTCTTTTTGTCACGCACCACCCCAGTAATTCCTGAGCCTTTTGACTAGCTGCAGCCCAATTTGAGAGTTAGAAGCTTCAAAGATAAGTGCTTCAAGACTTCTCCACTGGACAGAGGAGAGTAATTGAAATTAGTACTCCTCCTTAGGCACACTAATTAGACAGGGCTGCAACATGTAACCAGGAGTTGATTGTTGATCTGTTGGTAGCCAGTTACACTCAGATTAAGCAGCAGCACTGTCACTTGCTCAGTGTCCTCCTGTTTCTGTGGAAAGCTTGCTTGAGGGTGATGTGGCAGGGAGGTTTAGGACATGAGAGGACTAAAAGTACTGCAGTGAAAGGGTTTAGAAGGATTGCAGGTAGAAAGGACACAAATCCTTAGAAAATAAACTTAATGCTCGTGGATCAAGTCACTTTGCTTTAATGTCAGAGAACGTTAGGTTACACCTGCACTGCAAGTGGCATCTTCAAATACTGTCCTGCTGGAACCCGTTAAATAGGATGTACTCATGTATTTGTGACATGACCAGGCAGGTTGAAATTTTTTGTCATGTCCGTTATTGGTTCATTTGAAAAAAGGCAACAGAAGTATTTCTTTGTCTGCAGTGTTCTGTGAGCAGATTAGCATACCAAAAGTCTGTATCACATTTAAAGTTTATTACTTCCAAATGTCAAGTCTTTTAAATCGTTTCTGTTTGCTGCTCTGAGGTAGTCCTTCACTGTGACTTTAATTAATGAGAAAACATGAAAGGCAGCAAGTGAAATACTTGCTTTGTTGGATTTAGAGTTTATGAACAGAAGGTTGATGTGAGTTTCATGAGGACCAGGGTTTTCTGTATTCCTTGGTTGTGTAGTCCTGTGATTCTGCTTATTATTTTTAGCATAACTTCTGTGACCTATAGCAACCTTCTCCTCACATCACAGCTCTTGAACGATAAATGTTGCTTAGCAGATTTGAAAAGCAGAATCAGCAGGAGGATTAAAAAAAAGTATTATTGTTCTAGGCTTCATCAAGCGCTTGAGTACATACAGAAAATCAGCTGAGAAGGTGACAACTTAGGATTGATTACATATTAAAATGTGATGCGTTATCATCTGCAGTAACGTTACAGCTGCCTCTTGGAACCGTGTACAAACCCAACCTGCTTCCTCGTTCTGCAGGTTTGCACAGTGACAACGATGGAAACGCTGACATTGCGAAGCAGATACCTCCAAATTCTCTCCAGCACTTAAATTTCGAAGAAAACGTGGAAAATCAGAAAGAACACAAAATTGACACGGAGCACATACAAATTCCAAAGAGCAGAGTTAGTGACTTGCAGAGGATGAAGCAAAGTAAGTTGGCCAAAATCGTATACTTCATTATATTAAGAAAATAACTTCATTTTCTATCCGTTATCTGGAAAATAGGAACTGTTACAGCGGGTGGCCTCCTGGAGAATAAGCCTGAAAAGAAATGTAATATGTTACTGTGTAGAAGATATGCCTTCATGTGTTGTCTTTCATCTATATCTATATTCAGTCATTAAAAAAAATTGTAAGCTTATAGGAATTTAAAACGCTTTTGGAAATTACTACACATTTAAATAGATTAAGCCAAGACTTGATACGTGCATGATACTGAGTTACTTATATGCACCCTGTAGTACTTGACTTAAATACAGTGTTTTGGTCAACATTGTAAGAATTCAGCCCTTATATAGGGGGTCTTTGTGGTGCTATATGTGTATTGGTCAGAAGTTTGTTCTTCTGTGTGGGGAAGTTTTCCAGAACCCTTCTCTTCCATGTCTGCTCAAGGAAGAAGCCTTCAGTCAGGAGCAAATCATATATTTGTTTTAGTGTGTATGGTGGAGGTAAGACTGCAGAGTGGGCAGACAGCAGGTAAGAACTTGCAGCTCCAGAGGCAGCTCTGTGTACTGCTGGTTTTGAGATGCTCTACCTTGCAGCAGGTTCCATAACGCTGGGAGAGTGCTGTGCCTGTGGCGTTTGATTTAGCACCTTCCTTTAGGACCATTATAGTGAAATAAGTTTCTTGTGGTGTCAGTGGAGATACCATACACCTAAGTGTTAGTATAGAGTATACTGACCAGATATACCTTAACCTAGTTATTTGTGAAGAACCAACTCCAGTTGTTTAGCATTTTGGTGGGGAAGGGACATCTGGAAGGAAAAACATAGTGCTGAAAGATCTCCTCTTGTTTTTTTACCAAAATAAGATTTTTCTTTATTATAACGCTACTATAAATTCAACTTTAAATGTCTTTGTACTCACAGCTAAGTAGCTTTCACTTAGGGTTTGGTTTCTGTGATTAAAGTCTGTCTGTACTCCAAGGTGACAAGTTATCACATCAGAACAGCCATCTTCAGAGTCACGAGAATTGGGAGGAAAAAAAGGGATTCTATAGCCTTCTGCTGGAAACCTGTGCTAGTTCTGTGGATGGGATAAGCAGTGGTACAGAAACAGCAATTTTGTTGAAATAGAATCATGAATTGGTTTCAGTGATCTGGGAAAAGAGTTCTGAAAGCTGGGGTCACTCTCAGGAACATGAAACTATGAATTAATTTTTGTCATAACGAAGGGAACTTCGCAAGCTAAAACTGTGAAGAGTGGAGCTGCCGTTCCTTTTCAGGGTCTAGCACTTGACTGGCGATTCTGTAGCTTGGAGAAGTTGCAGGAAAAAGGTGTTAACCTCTAGCAATCTCTTAAATATTCCTTGGATAGCAGAGAAATAAGTTTCAAATACCACTCCGTTTATTCTTGTAAAATGTTTTAGGTGCTGTTCTGCAGTAGAGATTAAATTAAACCAGGGCCTGTAGCACGTAGTCCCGTTTGTTAGCAGATGGCTGTGGGGGGGGTGTGTGGGCATGAAGGGCTGTACAGGGACGTGGGGGTTCAGTGGGTGCTGTCCTTGTCCTCCCACCCCCTTGTAGCCCCCCAAAGGGTCAGAACCCAGAGTGTGTAGATGGTGCCAGACTGCACCCGAGAGGTTCGGGCAGCTGCCCGAAATGGTCTCTGAGCCATTAACAACCTTGCGAGAGGAGGTGCCATCGCACCGCGAGGCGACTCGTCTTTAAAAAGTGAACGGGAGGAGGACTGGAGGCATTGCAGAGACCCAGCAGCCCACCTTTGACACCTGGAGAGGTGACTGAACAAATTCTCAATCAGTTTGAATACAATATGATAAGTGTTTCAAGAGAAGATTGTGTCAGTGATACGATCTGAAAAGTATGTATTCACAGGAACGAAAGCAGGAGTGTGACTTTGTGGTAGGCAAATAATGGAGACTGCTCAGGAATAAATTGCTATTTGGTGGGGCACAACTTTAAGAAAATTATTCCAGACATAGGTATCACTTACAGTTTTGTTCAAAAAGCTTCTGTGAGGTGCACGAAGATGCATCCTGTGCTCGGCACTGTTTGTATGTTGAGTGCTGGATGATAAACAAGGTAGGAGATGTGGTTTCAGCAGCATAGAAGTTTGTAAACATGAACGTAGTCCACAATCAGGAATGGAGAATTCCGTGCACAGTCAGTGACAAAGAGCAAGTGAGCTGTTCTGTCAAAACCAATGTGGTCAACAGTGGCTATTAGTCCCTAACAAACGGCTGAAGTGGGATATGTTAACAGCAATGTCAGATAAGATGGTAAATGGAGTAACTAGCTCTGGTTTACCTGGTGCTTGTGAGGCCATCCTCTGGCTTCCAGTGTCAAAGAACGATGATGGGAAGCTGGAAGGAAGTCAGGGAAGCGGAAAAAAGAATACAAAGTAGGGTTTAGCCTGAGGGGGTAAAAAGCTCTGAAAAGACCAGGGTTGAAGAGGTAAGGAGTGGGCATCAATTCACTGTTGGTTTCCAGAGACAGATCTTTAGGGAAGGCTTCAGTTTAGGGAAGGCTCCTGGATCTTCCTGATGCAGTGGGGATAGGTGTGTTCAAAAACGGTGTGCAACTGGGCAAGCTTTCCTTCCACTCTGGCCTGAGACGTGCGAGACTGTTGAGTTTATTGAAGGAGCTTCTTGAAGAGCCTGTGCTCGTCCGGCTGAGTGGCTACAGCCGAAATGACAGAGTTTGTGCTTCAGTTGCTGGGGTTTTCAAACGGATCGGCCGTCTTCCCTGGTTATGGAAGAAATGCCGGGGGCCCTGCTGTGCGGGCCGGAGCACGGAATGAAAGGTCTGCACTGTGGGCTGTGAGTGGGTCCCTGAGAGCCAGTAATGGTCACTGGTTGTCTTTGCCTTTTCTCTTTGCTATTTGGAATAACTTACATTGTACATTATAGTGATGCAAAGAGACTATCACTTATGGAAACAGCTAATCCAGGTCTGTGGAAGATTTGTTTCCTGATTGATCGGCAGTGGCTGTTCTGAAAGGTCCATCGATGATAAATTCGTCCCTCTGGAACAGAGGAGCCCATCCCTGGCACCCAGCTTTCGTGGTGGGGTTTTGGTTACTGAGCGCTCCAGCACCTGCTGTGCACCAGCCCGGGGGATGAGATGAGTAACCAGCACTGGCTAAGGTGTCTGTCATGTCTGGCTGGTTTCAGATCAGGGAACTTCTTCCCAAAAGATGTTTTCCTTTTTAATTTTGATAGTGTAGATTGAGAAAGTAACTTTGGTGCCAGGTAGAGATGGGCACATTGCGGCCGTTCAGTTTCAGAAGAAGCAGAACCTGAAGGTGACTGCAGCGGCGTCACTGTGCTCCTACCTGGCACCAGAAAAAAGCTGGGTGCAGCAGACTTCCAGCCCATGCTGCTGTCTGAAGTTGGCCTGTAAGCATGTCCTTAGTGATGGGCATGTGGACAGCTGCTCCGAGTAGTGTGTTTGTAAGGAGCCAGCTTTGAGTAATAATACCCCGTGTGTCTACTCAGAATTCATTTCAGCAAATGCTACCTGCAGATTTTAGCATCTCCTTATGAGACATCCCCTGCTGTCACCAACCTCCTGTGCTTCATGACAACGTGTTGCACTGTGCCTCGAATAGCCAGTCCGTGTAACGCCTGTGTTACGGCCACGGACCCGTGTTCGGAGCGGTTGAGATCCACAAGCCATCAAGATGCCAGATCTTGTCTGTTTCCGAAAGCCACCGGTGCGTTGCTGGCGGGAGCTACAAGCAGCTCCTGCTGCGGTGTTCGCTTGGAGTTTGGCATCCCGAGACCCTTATCCCTGGCTGGTGTCAGAGCACTGACCTTCTCCCCGTTGTGCGAGACGTCGTCTGCCTCGTGTACCCCCAACTGCCCGCGCAGGCCGTGGAGCCGCTGCCCAGATCACCCAGTGCAGAGCGACTGCTGGTGAGGTTCGTGCGCTCAGCAAACCTCCCGTGGTTTGCGGTGGTGCCACCTAAACCACCGAACGCTGCAGGCAGAGCCCGAGGAGGGCTGTAGTGCCCGAGCAGGTGCACCCTGGAGCTGTGCTGGCACCCGCCCTCGCCGGGCTGTCCTGTGCACCAGGCTGTGCGGGTGACTTCGGTGCCCAGGCCTGTGGCCTGGCTGTGTTTCCAGGATCTCTTTCCAGTGTTTTAACCTTTCTTTCTGTCAGCTTAGATTTGTTCAGTGCTTGTTTGTCACAGTATCTCTGGCATTCTACAGGCTGGGTTTTTCTGTAAGCGAAGTGCATTCTTGCCTTTCCATAGCTTGGGTTGTATTTAACCTGTGCCAGTTGTACAGTTCTGATTGCTTTTTATATGTAGTGCAGTGTCCAAAAACACAAACAATAATGGCAAGGATTACTTGGAGATGAATAGAGAATGAATAATATATTGAACTTCTGGTTTCTAAACAGATCATAGTTTCTTCTTGATTATTTTATGAGAATAACTGAAACTTCAGTCTCTGTACACTTGAGCTGCACCAGATGTGATTCTTCTGCTGTTCTTCCCCACCCAGACAAGCACTGTGTTATTGTTCCTGTCCTGATTTTTATATGCTGCCACATATGATAGTTTTCATTGTTTTAAGACACAATTTCATTTTTGCATCTCTCTGTTGTAACCTCAACCCCCTTTTTAATCCTAACGTTGAAATCATATCGTCAGTTTTACTTCACTGTTCGTCGCTTGCACTGTGAATCACTTAACATCTGCCTCGGCAGACTTCTTCCTCCGTCCCCTCCCAGCCTGTAAGGATCGTATCGCACTTTAATCCTATTTTTGCGTTCATACATAATCCCTCCAGACTTGCATCCTCTGCAGGCTCAGCGTTGCGCTCTTTAAGCAACGGGCAAGCGGGCTGAGCCGCGCTGGGCGTGAGCAGATGTCCCCGTATCCCCCTGAACCCCAGCTCTGAGCTCGACATCGCACCGTTCATCTTCCATCGTGGGCTCGGTTGACTGTCTACTCATTGTGTAGCTCCAGCTAATTCTCATTTTTCTTGTGCGATGTTTCAGTATCTGGAACTGTTCTTAATTATTTGCTGGGAGACAAAAACACTGGATTCGGAACATTTTGAGAACTGTTAAAGCTTGATAAGAAACCAGAGCGTAAAGCCAAATTAATTAGGTAGTTAATCAGTTCCGAGATGCAAGGCAGATCTTTGCCAGGTTGGCACCCGTGACAGCGTGGTGCACGCGCTGCAGACGTCACCGTGTACGGAGTCAGCAACACGCTCCGCCGGGCGCAGGAAAACGCCAGTTCTCCTCCGACAGAGTCTGGACACCAAAACTTCCACTGTGTGTTCTTCAGCGTTGTAAGAAAACTTCACTAGCGTTTGTAGGTGATCAGTCAAAGGTGGAGCTTCTGGGTCGGGTGCTTACTCTAACTTTTCTCCCAAGAGTGAAGCTTACAGCAGTGGGATTTCACATGATCCAAATGCTGAATGACCGAGTACGTCCTTTTTGCAGGGTGTTCCGTGACCCGGCTGGTTCTCCCCCTGCCCTCTCCCCGCTACCCCTTTGCTCCTCCAGCTGAAACTACTACAGCCCCCGACTGTCTTAACCTGTGGTCTGCTTGTGGTTGGAATCTTCCTGTTTCTTTCCTCTCTGCTTCTGACTTAATCCTTTGCCTACTTCACAGGCCGATTCTTTGATGAGAATGAATCCCCTGTTGATCCGCAGCAGGGTTCTAAACTGGCAGATTATAATGGGGATGATGGTAACGTGGGTGAGTATGAGGCAGACAAACAGGCCGAGCTGGCTTACAATGAGGAAGAGGATGGTGATGGTGGAGAAGAAGACGTCCAAGGTGAGCTTGGGCCTTGTCTCCATCCCATTGTAATCAAACCCGCGCTGAGTTTACTTGTTGAATTTGTGTAAAGCCTGGCTGATTTTGGCTGATCAGAAATTTCTGGCACAGAATAAATAAGCTTTCGGCAGTCTGCTCTCCGTTTGGGAGCGACGTGACAGTTTGCAGCGAGAGGGTTTGGTACCTGATTTCTGCCGGGGAAATCACGACACTTCAAATTTCAGAAACGGTTTTATCTACACCCCAACTCTGGTCTCTAGCTCGTTGGGATGCATTCTTTGCCATTACTAAAGCAATTTTCAAATGCAGACGCGTAGTTTGTTGGACTGCTGCTTTGGTCACACCTCCCTGGAGGTGCTGCGCAGCGAGGTCTCAGCAGTTCTAAGTGTAATTTTCGTGCACTGTACACAGATTCAACAGGCTTCTGGCTTTCCTTCCTAACCAGACTTCAAAACTCATTGATCTGGCACTGCCCTAATACCTGTGTGTGCATGTCCACCGCCTCGTGTTCCGCATGCGTGTCAGTGCGTCACCTCTCCTTCCTTGTCTGCCGTGTATCCGCCACGTTGTCTACCATTCTCCATCCAGCTGTTTGCCAGTACTTTGTGAAAGGTGTGCATGTCCCTAGGGCGAAAATGTTTATGCAAACACACGTGCTATTTCCAGTTAAGGAGAGTGCAAAAGAAAGAGGAGGGAAAAAAACCCCAAACCAATATTGAAGTTCTACAGGCACCCAGATCCTGATCCTCGTAATGCAAGTTTTTTAGCTGGTAGTTTTTCAGACGCGTATTTAATTGGTATCCAAGCTTAATTAATGGGAAAAGCTGATGAAAAAGCAGCTGATTTCTGTGAGCAGGCATCTAACTGTGCAGTGTAAGCATTTTTTGGCTGGGCTGGTAGTTTGAAACTCATGAACAAGCAAAAGAAAGGTATGGATCAGAACGCTGGGCGATTAATTGCCTTCCTGAGAAAAGGAAAACTCTGTTGCCGTTCCAGAAGATGTGGGCTGGTTTGTTACTCTGGATTTCAGTCACTCTGCATTGCCAAGGCCTGTCCCTCTGGCTGGGCTGTTCCTGGGCTGTAATTAGCCCATACAGGCTGCCTTCCCCATGAAGGTGTGACAGTGCATACAGCCACTCCCGTGGGAGCAGGAGATGCTTCCAGTGATTCCGGCCTTGTAACGGAAAGGAGCGCGTGGTTTGCCGTGCGGGCTCGCGTGTCTGAGCGCTGCTCAGCAAACCCAGGCAGTTGTGGGGGTCGGGTTTGTCGTGTGGTTCTGGGTCGGTTCCCCGTAGGAGGCGGTGGGCGATGCCGGCTCCTCACCACGGCAGTTCCTTAGATGGGCTGCAGAATCCAGTTCGTGAAGTTTTACCCAGGGCCACGTAACGGTAAGGGGATCTGTGCTGCCTTCAGCCATTGGCCTCGCTCAGCCCTCGGGCTCGTCTTCGCCCGCAGCCGTCGCGGCAGTGGGTGCCGTGGGCTGCCCGAGCGGCACAGGGACGCGGCTCTGGCTGCACCTCCGAGCTCTGTGCCACGTTGCTTACCAGCACGAACACGGTGCCATGGTGGCCTTTACTGGGAAGCGAGTGGCTTTGTGTAGCCAGAGCTAATACCGCGTGTGCTGTCAGCTATTACCAGTAACGTGGGCAGCATCCCTGTGTGCCACCTGGGAAAGGGTGGCTATGATACAGTGATAAGTGGTGAAAAATTGTTAAAAAGCATAGAGATTGGGCTTATGTAGCTCACTGTGCAAAGGATAGATATTTGGAAAAAAGAGAGCTCTGCCTGAAAGTGGCCTCATGAAACTGTTTCCCGTGAGATGTGGTACCTGTCAGCTCACGGCTCTGGTGGCTTTAAATTGGGACTTGGTGAAACTCTTTTCTGATCAACCCCTCTGCATATCTGTATAGACAACGGGTTTAATATCTGGTAGGAAAGATTAGAGAGTGACTTCTGGAAGCCTTTCATGAACAACAGTCTGAGCAGCATATGTTACTACCTCAGGCTTAATTTTCCAACCCCTTTGGTTCTGTTTTTTTCCTAATAACTTGTTGACTTGATTTGAGACAGAAGTCATACAGCATGGGGAGCAGCACTCCCAGAGCAGCATTTCGGAAAAAGTGTCTGCTTTTGTCGTTACACTCAGTTGTTTGCAGGGTAGGAGAAGGTACAATTGTGGGGGTTTGGAGGGAGGATGGTTATAATTGTTTAGGGAGGAAAAAAAAAAAAATCCTGAATTTCTGTCTAAAAACTATTAGAAAAACATCACATGGTTTTGCATGAGGCTGGAACAAAGCATGTGGCATGTGCAAACAAAGCAGTTTAATTAAACATGTTTTTCTGTTGCCACTAGAAATGTGTGGGCCTGAGATTGAAATTATCAGAGGAGAATACACAAATGTGGGAGATACACTCACGTGAATGTCAGTATCCCACCTGGCATTCCCCCTTTCACTCCACCTGTTTGAAACACACGGTGAAACTTCAAAGTTGTTGGCTTCTGCTCCAGTCAGCATGTTTTTGTGGTGGCTGGTTGGTGGAGGATTACATAAATCGATGATGCCCACATGCTGCATTAGTAGCTTCTTGCCCAACAAAAGCGTGTGGGGTGTAGATAAAGTTGAGCCTTTTGCTGTGGGGAGCAGGTTACCATCGGGCACCCGCCTCGCGTGCGGGCTGGTGAGTAATTGTGGAAGCGTTGAAGAGCTTCAGGCTCTTATTGTCTAGTAAAGGACTTGGTAAACTCCAGCTTTGCTGTCCGCTCCTGAGAACCAGCATCTTTCCTGAGAACAAAGGATTTGAAGTGCAGCAAAAGCTTCTTAACTGAAACAAACTGAAGTTTTAGGGCTTTGTCACATTCTGAGGGGAGGAGGCTGGAGACCTGCACAGGAGAGCTCTGAATTAATTACAGCAGAATGCAGAATATTGTGAGATATTTTAAAACATCACTTGAAAAAACCCACTGAATGTACACTTTCTTGCTGGATTTTTTTTTTTTTTTGCGTGTGCTACAGTAAATGGTTATTTTGAGGATGCGCAAGATTTTTTAAACTTTATGATTTTTCATGAGGCTCAAAACCCAAAACCGAAGGAGCAGAAGTCAAGAAGTAGCACCGAGTAGAGTGGTGGAGAGAGAGAGTCATTCTGGGTCTGAGACACGAGACAGTGTCCAGCTCCTGGCTGGGAGCGCAGCCGTCCTGCAGCGCAGGAGTCACGTCCCGCCTGGTGGGCTGAGCGTTCACCGCGCCGGAGCCCGGCTGGATAAGAGCAGCTGTGAAAAAGGCGTTGCTGATTTTCCAGCAGCGCTGAGAGAGCACAGAGATTTCCAGTGGTAAGGGCTTCGAAAAGGTTGAGAGCCGCCTTTTGCTTTTTTAAAAATCTCTCTTCAAATTTCGCCCTCAGGTCGGAGGAACGAGGTGGCCGTATCAAAAGCGTTGACAGCAGAGTCAACTCCAGCATTAGTAAAGATCCCATCACTAAAACGTGCTGTTTGTGTGGGAGGGATCACTTTTTGCATCGGAGAAGTAGGTGGAAAAAGTGTTGCCTTAGTCTGGAGGGGGTCACGCTGACTCCTCTGTGTGTCCTGGGAGGTCCTTGGCCTTCGTAGAACCTTAGAATGGATTCCCTCTGGAACGGGTTAAAAAGTGGCGATGTGGCGTTCCGAAGTGGTTGACTTGGTAGTTGAGTTCTAGTGGGAGAGGTTGAAACCTCGGAGGAACGTTCTCAAATGACAGTAGTCAGTTCAACTGGTTGTGCAGCTCCTTAAGGCAGTGACCCTCAACCACGTGGCCGGAAAGCCCAGGGTACTAAACAGCGTGAAGTCCCAGTTCTTCCCGAGGGACGGCTCCGGGCGCTGCCAGCCGGGCTTGCCGTCGCAGACCCCGGTGCCTTCTCATTGTTTTCCTGGTGACCTCACTCGAGGCCAGTTCCGTGTGGGCGTAGCGTGAGCGGCGGGTCCTGGGAAAGTACGTTCAGGTGGTTTTTCAGTAGTACCACATCAGGTTTGATCGGAACGTTCTAATTGCAGATGATGAAGAAAGAGATCTGCAAAATGACCTCGATTATGGCAAGCCACGCTTAAGTGACAGTGTTCTGTAAGGCCTGAATGGAGCAGGAAACATGGATGGGAAGAGATCTCCGCTGAGGAACCCGCAGTGCAGCAGAACTGAACCATTTTGACTTCAGAGTTCCCTACTTCGAAGGAAGCCGATACTAAAAGCGATGAGTGTGCTTGGAGTCAGCCAAGTAACAGAAGGCAACGGTTCTGTACAGATGTACATAGTTGTACTATTGCAAATTGTATCAAAACTACATTTTGGTTGTTACATTGAGCCAACTGCTTAGACTGTACCTTATCTGTAATGATCTTCCCATCGAAAACCGGTATTATAAATACGGGCCGAATTGTTTCTGCAATTTAGAAAACTTTGTAAACTGGAGAACTTGTACAGTTTGTATCTCATGTAACAAATACACTGTGGAAACAATGTACAGCCAAAGGACTCCTTTTCTACAGTAATACCTGTGTGGGCAAAAACGCTCCTGCTTTCCTCACGAGTGCTGTGCTTCTGTATTTTGCAGGTGAGCCATCCGTTGGGAACGAAAACGGGATGTTTAGCAAATTGCTCTTTCCTTAATGTAGCTGAGGACGGACTGCGAGTGTCTTTGGCAGCAAGTACCATTTTAATTCTCGTGTCCAGCGAGCAAATTGCTCCTCGGTAGAGCTGGAAACCAGCGATCTTAGAATTTTAATGATTTGATACATCCTGACAAGGTGGTGTCATTAACAGCTTGTTTGAAAAGGGAATAGAAATATTTCAGCAGAGCTTGTAGGGGATCTTTGTGTGTGCTGAGGAGCCTTGGTGAGCAACGGGCGCGTCTGCATCGGCTCGGTGGGAACCCGACGGGAAGGAAGGACCCGTACCCTGGGAAAACACGGCGTGTGCTGTTCTGCTGCCTTGGAGCATCCATCCTGTGTCACAGCCTCTCCAGTTAATTTACAATTCAATCCTTTGATACAGATCTCCAAACATCTGCCATGTTCCATGTTTTGATTTTCTATGTCACAAGGTTTGTAAGTTAGATACTTTTTGTACTTTATGTTTAAGCACTTTCTGAATTCTATGGAAATGATTCTGTTGATCTGCAGTAGTGAAAATCAAGGTTATTAACCCAGCCTGCTTCTCCAAAAGGGCTACTGTGAAAAGAAATTATAGGGCCCGTGACGTGGGTGATTGTGCTTTGTCTCTGCACTCAGGTTCCAGTTTGAAGTGACAGTTGAGGTTCGCTCGATGCCAGTTCAGTGAACCTCTTAACAATTTTTATTTTGTGTTTTATTTTGCTACAGGGACCTTCTACCAATCAGTCTTAAATACACAAGGAATAAAAATTTCAGGTTCTGGCAATGCATCTCAAGGCTTTTTGTTTAAGGCTTGAGCTCTTCATTCCACACTTCTGGAGGCAGATGGGGAATAGCCCCTTGCATGGTGTGATGTACTTTCAGTTGGAAATTAAAATGCTGAACCTGCTCGGAATTAGGTACCATACTAATACCACACCGTAAGTGTAAACTTGTACAAGGATTCTAAGAATAGCAGTCTTCAGTAAATACTGTATTTAAGCTCTACATTTTTTTTGTCTTAAAATGTAATTTCACCCTGAATTAGGTGTTAACTTGATTCTTCTAATGAAAGCAACATTTAAGGGTTCTAATAAATTAAGTTGTTTAAAGTATGCGAGGCTTCTGGCTCTTTTTTTTTTTTTTTTTTTGACTTCTTACAATTGGATTAACTTGGGGCTTCACAGAAGTCGAGGTATTGTAGATGCCCCATCCCTGGCAGTGTTCAAGGCCAGGCTGGATGGGGCTTTGGGCAACCTGGTGTAGTGGAGGGTGTCCCTGCCCATGGCAGGGGGGTTGGAACTGGATGGTCTCTGAGGTCCCTTCCAACCCAAACCATTCCATGATTCCATTGTGACGTATGGGCAGCAGTTACAGAGTTTCCTAAAGGCCGACTCGGGCAGCGATGGGGCTGAGGAACTCGCCGTGTGCCTCACAGCTCGTGTTTTGTCCCAGGCAGAGCAGCTCCAGCAGCTGCTCCCTGGATGTTCCCAAGCCAGAAGTCTGCCTCAGCTCTGCGCCCTCGGTGCGAGCGTGCGTGGCAACACCGGCAACGCCTTCCGAGCTGCCTCTTACTGCCAGTAACGTGATGGGGAGACAGACACAAAATCAAATCTTATTTTAGCTTCTTACTTTCTAGAATATTAAACCATTTCACGTTATTTCTTTGTGCAGGTGCAGTGATTTTGGAAACAACAGCCCCCAGACCCTTTCTCTATAAAAGCAGAGTGCTGGGTTAGAGCTCAGGGCCCGTCTCAGTGTGTTTGCTGACCGAGTGGGATGGTAAATGATGGGAAGGATTCCTTGATGTGTTCTGGTCTGATTTCCACTGTAACCTGGTTACTTCTGTGCATGACACAGAACGACATCTGGCATTAGTAGACAAAATCATTAGATAACATGTTGGGAAATAGGTGAGCTTTGTAATTAGAGTCTTGTGATAACTATTATACGCATAATCAATTTCTTATTATGTGTAACCTGTTTTCTTGCATGCCACAGGCTGAATCTTGCTTTATATTTAGAATAGTCCATGTTACGATATCTTTTAAGTCTAGTGGTAGTAAAAAATAAAACCAACATTCATCCTGGCTTTTAACACCTGGCTAAACCGTCGCCGTTGAGTTGCCCTGTTGGCTACCTCACTTCTGCCACGAACTGGTCTGGAAAGGAGCACGGAGAGCTCATGGCACACACCCGCCTGGCCGCCGTCCGCGCGGTCGGAGCAAAGTTTAACGAGATGGCACCAACCGTAGGGCTGCAACCAGCGACCTGGCGGTGAGCGACCGGTAACGAAGGATTCCGCATCTCCCAGGAAACAGCCCCCTCGCTCACAGGTTAACACGGGCTGGGCAAGATGAGAAAAATTCATGTTTCTCATCCTGTTGGAAGGAGATGGTAAAACAGGGAACTACCAGCCCGGCTGGACGTTTGGTCTCAAGCAGTTCCCTTCCTTCGTGTGTGTTTCTGTTCTGTTCCTTGAGAAATCCATACTCACAGTTTTATGGCTTACGTCGTAACCCGCT